GAGTTTTGCACACTAGTGGACAGTTGTAGATTTACTTCACCAGATGGTGGTGAGTTTTATGATTTAACTTCAGCCAGCTTTATCATTCACACTGCCTGCAGCAATGCATTAGTATTTCCACACAACTGAGAACTGTCACTCATCCCTACATCCTCATAAATGTCAGAAGTCTGTCTAACTTAAAAGGGCACTTCTGATTTCTTACTGGTAGCTATTAAAAAATAATCCTCACACAGGTCCTGGTTCCAGTCATAACACCTGGGAAGTGTAGACACACAAACCATGCATGTTTATTTTATGCGATTTATGCCTTTGCTGTTTTGTTACTCCCTACCCTTTCAGTTACTAGCCTAAGGAGTTCAGAGTGCTGATGACTTGAAGACAGTTACTTCAAATGCCAGTGTTGTGAATTGGCTCAGATTATTGGTACTGATAAATTCTGGTCTCTAGGATAATTTGTTCCTATTTTATGGCTTCAGTCCATGATGCTCGCATTACCTTCTTTGGCATCAAGAAAATTGCATTGATTTCCATTTGTTCTGGCAAAAGGACAATTAGATAAGAAAATTGCAAGATTACTGGACTTTTTAAAATTCATATGAGTAATAATTATGGTTCATACTGTTCCAGAGAAGGGTAAAAAACTCAGTACTTGTGTCTTCATGCAGGGATCCTGAAGAGCTGGTGGAAAGGGACATTTTAATAGGATAAGTGTAGTAGCTGCAAGGTTTCATTCTCAGCTTTGGATGGCAAATTTAGGAACTTATCAATTAGACAGGATGTTTTATTTTCCGAAGTTAGAATCTTCGAAAAATTCATTTTGGATTATATGTGCACTTCTTGTATAAAATAGTTGAAAACCTAATTTTTTTCTACATTAAGTGCACGATCAATTTATTTTCAAAAATGAGATCTTGAAAGTAGGAAGCTATTGTAAAGGCAGTTTTGTTAAGTAGGTTTGCCATACACAGTTGAAAAACATTTAAAGTTAGTGTAATGTTCCTTCCAGTCATCCTCAGTGTGAAGCTCAATTGTGATAGGTAAATACCTCATTATTTACAGTACTAAAGGCAAATTTACATTTACTTCTTCAGGCAATAGCCACACGATAAGACCAAGTTTGCCAGGTGATAGGATGGTAGCTGCCACAGGGAGGAAGTCACTAGGTAAGATGTGTTTAGTGGAATAAGTATCCACATAAAATACCTGTATTTTCCATAATGTTAATAATGTGTAGTTAAGAGATCTGCTTTTACTGTCTGTCTTTAAAGCAGCAGTGCTAGAAACTTTGATAAAAAAACAGTTCCTGATCGTAACAGTACTTCTGGTTCTTAAGATTTGGTGAGTTTCTATGCTGAGCAAAGAAAAAAAAGTAGTTTCACACTTGAGCTGTGCAAGCAGCAGCAGAGGCAGGAAGATGTAATCACGGATGTGGGTTCCAGCAAGCTGCTGCGCCGGAGGACTGCGCTGCTGGCAGGACTCGCCACGATGAATCCAGAAGAACAAATTGTAACATGGCTTATTTCATTAGGAGTTTTAAATTCGCCTAAGAAAACGGTTGATGATCCGGAGGAGTTCCTGAAAACTTCTCTGAAAGATGGAACTGTACTTTGTAAGCTCATTAATCGACTTCTTCCGGGATCTGCAGAAAAGGTAACTTTTCAGATGGTATTTTGGCAGCCTGAAATGCAGCACTACTCAGTAAAATGCTGCCCTGCTCATTTTGAGGTATGCTTGTCTTTGACAAATAAGATGAGTGAGAAGCATCAGAGAGATGCATGGTTTACATTTCCGTTACTAGTTGTATCTAACTGAGGGCAAAGTATGATTGTAGCTCTTTTAATTTTGTCTATGCATCCAGAAACAAGACGCTGGAAGGTTGCAGTTGGCCAAGTTATGTGCGTTTGGTGGCAGGAAATACTGGGCCTGCCAGAGATAAAACATCATGGGTTTGAATAGAAGGATATGCAGTTAATATGTTTACATAAATATCATTAATTACAGCTGTAAATATATTCACTCTTACAGAACTCTCACTGTAAAATACTTACTTAGTCAGGAAATACACTGGAGAAGCAGATAAGTTTAGAAATAAGTAAATCTTGCCTCAATGCCATTTTGAACTGGGCCAGCAAATGCATTGGTACTGTAGCCATTTAAACTATGTGAGTATCTCTGTTACAGTTTTATAATGTATATATTCAGTCCAAAAAGTATTATAAGTAACTGCATGAGAAAAAAAAAAAGGGAAGGGCTCCAATGAGAGATAGGAAATGGCAACGCAGATTAAAAGCTGTTTAATTAAAAAACATGAAAAACAGGTTCTTCACCCTGTAAAACAGGAGAGATAATTTACTAGGCAAAAATCAGTTTTGCCAGCTCCTTATCTTTTGCTTACATGTGATGGTTTGGGACAGCGTGTTCTTAAAGGTCATCAATTTCCCACTGTCACTTAGTGCACTGTCGTATGTTGATATTCAAAACAAGATGCCGACCATCTCCATGTGTGCATCACTTCCTCCAGTGGCTCTTTCTTCCTGCTTCGACAGCTTGCCTGCCACCCCCACCCGCCCCCTTCAGAAGCTTCCCTAATTCAGTATAAAATGCACATGTCAATATTCATGCAGGCCTCCTGAACAGAGGCTAGGCAGGAGGTAATGCAATGATCTCAGTGGATTTTCTTTCTTTAGTATTGCCTGGAACCTAAAAATGAAGCTGATTGCATCAGTAATATTCAAGAGTTCTTGAAAGGCTGTGCAGTCCTTAAAGTGGAGGTAAGTCAACTTGGATCCTTTATTTTATTGTCGTAACATGCTTGTTTAATCAGCCTTCTGAAAGGAAGACAGATACCAGAGGGAGAAAATCATGACATGAGTCGTGCCTCATGTTTTGTATTGATAACATAAACCAGAGCATGGCTCATTTAATATGCTGTCTGGAAAATTTGCAAACAGAGTGTGTTGAGTGAGAGCTTACTGGATTAGTTTTTGACTTCTGAGAAAAACCTAAAGGGTCAGGTAGAATATACAAACAGCAATAACAGGAGGTCTGCCTAAACAGAGGTAAGCAGTGTGGACCTGTTTACATGAGGTTTTTTTCATTACTAGAGAGAAGAGATTATAGGGTTTAGCTTTGCTTTTACATGAAGGTGAAATATTCTTAATACTGCAGTATTTTTTCATCTTGCAAATGTTGCATGAGATTCTGCCAAACACATAATACTGCATTAATCCTTACACACAAAAATAATTACAATGAAGACAAAAGACACCTTTTCAGTGGTTATTCCTTATCCTATATATATGCTGATTTTTATGCTTAAGTTTAGCTCATATTTGCAAGATGAGAGTCTAAATGAATCACTTAAGAGTTCAGCTAATTTTTGCCATATTTTTTGCATATGTATTTAAATGTGAAGACTTTTGTATCACACTTAAATTCCTACAGTAAGAAAGAAACCTCTGAGAGCCACTGTTGCCTCATTTGAATATTCTCAACATTGTAAAAAAAAATAAAATTCTAAAGACAAATTGTGCCAGAAGCCAGGACACCATCTGGCATGACACAGAATATTCATGCACCACAGTGAGAAAGACCAACCCATGGTAGTTCTGTTCTGCACTTTTCATAAGGTCTAAAGCAAAGAGCCTTTCTTCTCTTCAGAGCTTTTTCAGCTCATGAAAATTTACTCATTCCAGGACTGTTTCACTAGCCTGTTCTTTCCCAGTAATGAATTTCTCAGAGCCTGGCAACCCAGTTTTAAGAGCAGATACATAGAGAGTGACTGAAGGCCTGTCATATTAGAAATCAGTTGTTGGTCTTGTGGAACTTGACCATGTGATTTCCTCAATTTTTCAGAGAGTTTATTTTTCTATTTTAAAACTAATCATCATTGCTGTGGTGGAAAATACTAAAAAGTAGGAGTCTTAAACACCTAAAAGATAGGACAAAAGAACATTCCTCAACTGTTGTGCTTTAACATCTGAGTTTTGAAAGCCAGTTTTGCAATATGGCAGTCACACTACTATTTTCAGATACAAGGAACTAGCAACACGGTGTGTCCAGCTCTGGGTGTTGCTCTGGTCCTCCCTGTGTATTGTCTTTCTTGGCTTTCATTAAAAAAAAGAAAGTTTCTGACTTACTTATTCTTCTGATTTATAACCCTCTTAATCTCTGAGATATTCTGACCCTTCATGAACTTCCCCAGTGCTCATGTGGTTGCCTCTGGCTTGGTTGCTGTGAAAGAAGATCTCAAAAGCTGAGTAAAAGTTCAAATCAATCAAACTCAGGTTTAAATTTTGCAGTAAAATTGTGTTGATTTTTTTTAACCCCCAAAATATTAAGTCATATTGGAATGCCAAGTGAGAGGAATTTTGCTTCCTCCTGGCTCCTCTCTGTAGCCTCAGGCAGAGGAACACTCAAGGTAGAACAGCTAAGATGGTGGGCAAAATATGGCACAAGTCAGAGTGCTTATGACTCCCTTGGCTCTTCTCCTCCCATATTGCCAGCTTTTCTGAGTGCTTTGGAGGCAAAACCAGAGGAGACATTAAAACTCTCTGCCATCTGTTCCTTCTAAATGCTGTCCTATTTGGACCCTCTTGGCAAGGAAACACTAAGAAGCATACATGTATGTGACCTTCCCTCGTGTATGATGCTTAGCTTGCCTTGGGAAAGGCTGCTGCCCTTCCGAGGAGGTTTCTCTGCAGCACATTTACTCTGAAAGCATGTTTGGAGCATCAGAACAGGCAGGGAACCTTCTGGTTCCAAGATCTGTCAGCAAGGAAGTTGCAGTGCTGATGTTATGTCTAAGGAAGAAGAGCATAGGATAGAAAATCTCATCTTCAGTATCCTAGCTTGAGAAGGGAGTGACATGAAAACTCTTAGTTTAATAGGATTGAATTCCTTGACTGCCATCCTGCTGCTTACCCAGACTTCAGATTTGACAATAACCTAATGGTTCTGTCAAATTCAGCCCTTCTCTGAATGCCACAGAGAACTCTTGTTTCTTAGATACAAACAAGTAGCCTGGGGTCAGATCTGGGCCGCTTCTTTTGTCTTGGGGCTGAGAAGTGTGTGTTAAGGTCAGATAATCTGTTCCTGTTGCAGATTTGAGTGAAAGAGGATGTTCTGAGGAATTTCAGAGCTCACAACTTCTACTCTGGACACTGATTTATTATACAAAAGGGACTCATCCTGGGGAATCTCAGGCATGAAAAATTTCATACAGCAGCAGATACCTTCATACTATGCCTTAAATTTGCTTTTGTCGTAGATATTTGTGCAGCTGCCATTAGGAGCTGAACACCTCTTCACTGATCATTTTTGGCATGTGGGGAATCAGTATGGAAGGCAGGGTTTTCCAACAGCATTTGCTGGAAACCCAAGTGCCACCTTCCACCGAATGGATACTGGTTGCCAATCTTCCAGTGGGAGGGCATGCAAAGAGGTTATTCCTGAAGAGTTGCACATACGCAATTCCCTCCTACCCTTCTTTGTTGTCCTGGTAACTCAATCTTGGAAGTGAAAGAAAGACAAGGCAAGACAAACAGCACCTTCTCCCATGTTACAGGAACAGGAAAGATCTGGATGTAGTGGAAGGGAGGGAGGACTGTCACCTTCCTTCTTTGAGATAGCTCTGTTACCAGCTCTACAAGCAATGGTGTGAGCTGGAAGAGTCCATCTCGTTGCAGGTATAAATAACCAAACTCTTACTTAGATCCAGCCCAGGACTGAAGCCTACAAAGATTGGCTGCTTAAAATGTGTTAGTCCTAAAAAAGAAGGCAAGCAGGAGAATCAACATAATCTGACTAGACAAGTGCCGTAATTAGGTGAGACAGTGAGATTGTGTCTAAAGTTTCCTAGCTGCTTTTCAGTGCTAGATTTTGATCCAAGTCAGAATTTATATCAGCCAAGGTCTGCTGTGACAGAGGCCTGGGCAGAGAATGTGGGCAGTTCTTTGAAGTTTAACTCTTCCTAAGGGCTTCTCAGGTGGTTCAGACTGAGGAACAGTGCAGATAACCTGGTTGTGCTTCATTTATACTGTGGCTTCAACCTGTGACATATATGACCTATGATCTGGTACAGCTGAGGCAGTGATGGCTTCGTGCAGGTGGGTTGAGGTGGAAAGTGGAATGCAAGAGGCTCAGGCCTGGTGGCCAGGTGGAGTAGTTTAGAAGACAGAGGAAGGAGATCATGAGGAAAGAGAAAAATCTGGTAGAAAGCTCCTGGCCTAGCCTGTTCTTAAGGGCACAAGTAGGAACTGTTAGTCTTTCCTTTTGCTGTTGACACTGCTGTGCCTCTTAACAGCAGCTCAATAGCTGAGCACCATTTACTGCTGAGGAAACTAAGACCTCCATTCAGCAGCAGCATTTTATTGCTAATACAACCACAAAACTTTTGGCAAGGGGCTGAATTTTGTGAACTAAGATAAATCAATAGCTGGATTAAACATCACTGTCCAGAACAATCATAGAACATGCAGTGTGTCATTGCCATTGTGGGCAGAACAGAATCTATTTCTGCACCTGGAGATGCTTGCAGCCTTCGCCAATCTGCTTGTACTTGGACAGAGGTCTTGGGAAGGCAGAGGAAAGGTCATCACCCTGTTGGCTCCCCATCCACGTGCTCCCGCAGCTTGCTCTCCTTTGGCTTCCCTTCTGGTTTCGTAACTGGGTAATGTCAAAGGCAAAAGCTCCATCCCAGCAGCCCCCAGTGCAAGCACTGGGGAATGGGTGAGTCTGGATTCAGAGTGACCCAGTGTCCCGGAGACCTCTGCCTTGCAGGTGTGGGAGGTGTCTGACCCCGTGTCCCTGCGTGGCATTGGGATGTAGAGCCAGGCTTCACCCCGGGTGTCAGCACGGCGCTGTGTTCCCTCCCCACGCTGCAGCCCACGGCTGCACTGACGCGTCCGGGGAGTTTCACGCTCCCCGCAGGAGCGCGTTCCCGAGCAGATGGGCACGGGCAGCAGAGCTCGCCGGGGCAGGGACTGTCTATGAGATCTCACTGCCTCGGCAGAGCTGCGCCTCATCCGCAGCCCCTTCTGCACCGCTTCCCTTCTCAGGGGTGCAAGCCCCCTGTAATTACAATTTCAATAGCCTGTTTCTTCCTTTATTTTCCAACCCTTCCCCTATATTATTTCTTGCCCTTTTTCCTTTCCCGTTTTCCTTCCCTTCCGTTTCCCCTCCCTTTTCCTCTTATCCTTCATTCCTGATTTACTTTCCCCCTTTCCCTTCCCCTGGCCTTTCCCTTCTTCCCTTTCCCATCTCCCTGGCTCCCTTCTCCATCCCTCCCTCCCTCCCGCGGCCGGCGGAGGGAGCTGCGCCCGCACC